AAGAAATAAATGAAGGTATTTTACAGATTTTTTATCTATTTTCATATAAAAGTGATTAATTTTAAATAAATAATAAAAATAATCATGTATAATTTCTGTTAAAGATTTATAAAAGTGTATTTTATAAGCTGTAAGAATAGTGTGTAATTTTGAAAAAAAACATTTTTAGAATTTTTGATAAATTTATATGTCTGTATTTTTAGTACATATTTTTTATTTAGGATGTCAAATGTAAAAAAAAAAAAAATTGTGAAATAAGTAATATCAATGTATTATTTATGTACACTATGTATTTGGCCATATGTCTGCCTCTGTTATAAGTCAGGAGTTATATTTGAGTGTGATGATTTATAAATTAAATTGACCTTTTGATAAGTCAAAGGACTGTTGTGATCATAGTTATTCTCAGTAAGAAATAATCTTTTTTTTTTAAATTTGAAATCACTTCAGAACATTATTGGGGTTTTCCTGATCATCCTGGGGTTGATGCTAATGTATCACTTATTAAAGTTTTGTATATAACTTCATGACTCATTCAGCACTGAAACTATTCACTTTAAACATCACAAATATGTCCAAGATCATAATTTTAGGTCAATGTCCGAGATCAATGACTGTAGCATTAATTATGCATATTTGTATACTTTAGTTCATTCTTGGTTAAGGTTTTACTTGCAAGGTTTTACTTACAGCCATCAAAAAATATCACTTAAAACTTAGAATTGTTATTTGGTCATTATATAAATTACTAAGTGAAACAATTTTTGCATTGATTTTCAGTGAAATGATTAACCTATGGTAAATGAACTTTAAATATTCCTACATTGATTCAGTTTTACTATCAGGCATTGAGAAAAGTCTAGTAGAGGAGTCCATGACTAAGTGGTTAAGGTTGTTGGTTTCAAACCACCTTATCTTCATTGCCTTGGGTTCAAATCCCTTAAGGATTTTGGCTTCTTTCATTTGAGGAAGCTAACCAGATTGCTATCAAAACAAAGATGGTTCTACTCAGGTGCCTGTTCATGTCTGGAATAATGCACTGAAGGGCATGTGAGGAAAGTCACCATATGACCTCTACTGTGTTGGTGCAACTTAAAACCAAATAAAAAATAAAGAAAAAAGAGAGAGAATAGTTGAGCTAACTGTCCAACTGGCAGCTCTTGTGTTTATATTTCCTGCAGTGCAGACGACAAGGTGCAATATTTTTCTGTCTTCAGATCTCAAACAGTTTTTGTTCTTTCATATTTTTTTTTTTTGTTACTTAATAATTTATTACCACATATGAACATTTTCTTATACATTTTGTAATTATACATTTATTTACTTATGTTACATGTTGTTTTGTTATGCCCCCACAATATGGGAGCATATAGCGTTGCACTTGTCCGTCCGTCCGTACATCCCGAAATCTTGTGAACGCAACTCCTCTTAAACCGGATGGCAGATTTTGCTTAAACTTACAGGGATGAACAACCTTAATGTGTAGATGGTAGTAAAGGAAGGAATTTTCGCTGCGACCAAATTTAACAGAATTATGGCCCTTTGTTGATTTTTTCACTAGATACTATGTAGAAATTTTGTGAACGCAACTCCTCTTAAACCGGATGGCAGATTTTGCTTAAACTTACAGGGATGAACATCCTTAAGGTGTAGATGGTAGTAAAGGAAGGAATTTTCATTGCGACCAAATTTTACAGAATTATGGCCCTTTGTTGATTTTTTCACTATATACTATGTAGAAATTTTGTGAATGCAACTCCTCTTAAACCGGATGGCAGATTTTGCTTAAACTTCCAGGGATGAACAACCTTAATGTGTAGATGGTAGTAAAGGAAAGAATTTTTGCTGCAACCAAATTTAACAGAATTATGGCCCTTTGTTGATTTTTTCATTATATACTATATAGAAATTTTGTGGACGCAACTCCTCTTAAACCGGATGGCAGATTTTGCTTAAACTTCCAGGGATTAACAACCTTAATGTGTAGATCGTAGTAAAGGAAGGAATTTTCGCTGCAACCAAATTTAACAGAATTATGGCCCTTTGTTGATTTTTAGTTTTCAACTTGTGGCACATGTAGTCCAAAAAATATTTGACCTAGAGTCATAAGATTGACAGAACAGTGGCGTGTGGGGGCATCCGTGTCCTATGGACACATTTCTAGTGTTTTGTTATGTTGAAATTACTACAAGTCTACTGTGTTGAATATTATACATATTTATTTTTTGTTTAATAATTCTTATGAATTATATTTTTGTTGTTGACTTAATATTATAATCTGTTCAGGTATATATTTCTGTTGAAATTAAAAAATTTTACTATGAGAACAGATTGGTTTTCAAAGATATTCAGTTGATTCATACAGGTATTTAAGAAGTATTATTTTTCAAAATTTAAATGAGGAAGTGTTCTTTTAACCTGTTAACATTTCATATTTTGGGTATTTGATAAATAGAATATTACTTTACCAAATTTATTTTAACTTGTTATGAATATTACATTATGTTTACCAGAGGATTGCATAATATAAGTTTATTCAACTCGTTCAATAAATTCAGTATTGAACCTTCACTCATTCAATATCTTCTGTATTTATGGTAGAATTTTGCAGAAACATTCCATAGTATTTGGCAACTGTATAAAATATGCCATTTCATTTGGTACTTAATAATAAACACTTACTTAGAAACGTAATATAGTTAATGAATAACATAGACAATGTTTCTTGACAGTACAGGAAATACAATGAATTTATAAAGAATCTTTGTGCCAAGTATTTTTATTAGCATGTTATATACATGTATAATGATAATGTATAGGAATCTTACTTGATTAGTATGAAATATGATTTGTCAGTTATCCATGTGAGAGTAGACTTACTGAAATTGTATAATTATGATTTATATGAAATAATATAATTATGATTTATATGAAATAATATAATTATGGTTTATATATTCTATTAAAAATACATAGTTTAAATACTTTTTAAGACAGGTTGCTGGTCCATTTTCAGAGGCTGCTAATCAGACCATTAAGTGGTTGAAATTATATTTTGTCCAATGAAATCGTTCTATTTCCCAACTTTGTTGATATGTTTAATTATCATTTAATTGGCACCAACTTAACATTAAAAAATAATTACAACCATTATATAGGTCAGCATTAATTTCCATTGATTGTGTCACACCAGATTATATTGTCACCAGAGTGCAGTAACAGGTTAACTCCCATTAAAGTTTAATAGGAGTTAAGCCGTAACTGCACTAAAGTGACGATAGATACATTTTGTAACTTATTTAATGTTGACTCACAAACACTAACATATACTTGCAAAAAGAAAACAAAAAACAAATTTTAAGTTTTGTAATTTGTTTTTGGTTAAATTTTTGGACTATTATGAACTTGTTTGCTAAGTGATCCCCTTAGTGCAGTAATTGGTTAACTCCTTAAATCATTTAATAGGAGTTATCCCATTACTGCACTTAGTTGAGGAAGTATTCATGTACTAAAAACCTTTAAATAGGAAAATTCTGGTTAGATTTTGTTAAAAATAGAATAATAGAATTATAATGAGGATGTCACATGGAACTTCCAGTTTGGAATGGACCATTGTCAATTTTAGGGATATCAAGTGTAAATATTTAAAGTTAGTCAGCTAACAGTCCAGAGCCTGGTCAGACTGGACAGATGTGCATGTTGGCCTGGCTCTATACTGGTTGCTAGGGCTAATCTTATTTTGGTTCCAGCAGGGTAAGGGTGAGTGAAGTTTTGTTATTTGATGATTCATATTGAGGTTTCCTATACTACATTACTGATGTGATTGATTCGTGATGCTCATTTAGTAAGATATGACAGTGTTGTTGTGAATCATTTCCTGGGTGGGTAAGTTATCTGACTGTAAATTTATAAACCTCCTCACACCTGTGAATTTGGACTGGACTCTTACTTACATGTGAGGAAGGTCAATAGGATTTTACTCAGGTTTTCTCTTGCCTGAAATAATGCTCCAAAAGACATGTTGATGAAAAGATAAGAGCAAAAAATATCTGGTAGCAAAGGGGGTCATTCCCACTGCTTATCATTGTTGGGAGTTTGATCATGCAAGGTTATGTTTTACTTAAAGGAAATCACAGATATGTAATGTAATATAATATAAAGAATGTAATGTTCAACGCAACACTGTCCCAACTCAGTGAATGTTCAGGAAAATATTACAACACTCATGCATTGGGACCTCAATAATGAAATTTATTGTTCCATTTATTATTAAGTAAACCTGTCTTAATTATAGTTGCAAGAGGAAAAATGGATATTTTGTTTTGATATGTATAATTTATATTGTCTGGTAGAACATATGAAGGTGCTGTCTTTGAAAATAAAGTTAATAGTAGAACTTTTTATGTGTTTTTGTTATATTGTATACAGTGTAATCTTTTACAAACTACCTCTCATACACTCTTTCCAGGAGATAAGCATCAGACTTGCTACGAAATCATAAAACACATGTTTTACTTTTCTAAAGGTATGCCTTTCTTAGGCATAATGTGTCATTAATAACATGCCTCTGCAAGTCTTTGAAAAAAGAAACCCACAATACCATGCCTCTCCTCATGAATCATTTGATATGTCATAATGAACTTTTTTGTAACTATAACTTCAAGTTAATAAATATATCCTTTTTTGGAACGAAATTTAAGGCTGGTAATATTCCAATAACATCACGCTCTTCAGCACTGGTCAGCTTCTCTCTTATATATTGTAAATTTTCAGCCTGTACTGCATTGCATTGCATTTAAGTTGTAACGAAGTAGCGTGTGTTTCACCTGTGTTTTACCTTTTTTGTATACCCACACTTGCAGGTTTGAACAATACATATGCAAATTATTAGACCTATGTCCACGTTACAGAGTAACATAAATCAGGATGGTCTTGAAGAATAATCAAAGTTATATAAAATATTGTTCTATTCTTAGACACAAAGTTATATAAAACTTTGTTCAAATCTCCGACAGTTTGTTGACATAAATTAAGTTTCGTCTTTTTCCATCTTGTGAAAAACTGCTGTGGTACATCTTCCTAGTTTCGCCACACCAACATACAGCATAAGGGCTTATCAGATTCTTCAACACCACCTTTCCTTTACTGCAATCTCCTGATATCTCTTCAATGGTGTTTCCATTCATGGCACACACAAAGACATTATCATCATCGGACAGAGCTATTCCATACGGTGTACCTTCAACACGATACCAACCAATCACTTCCCCTTGCCAGTTTAATCTTGTCACTGTTTTCATGTCCCAGTCAGATACATAGATAGAATTTCTGTTACTGGTGACATACCATGGGTGTCTGAAAATGTCTTGGTCATTAACAGTTGTCAGTACAGTTCCATTCATGTCAACGATCTGGAGTTTTGCAGGATTACAGAATGTCAAGATAAGTTTGCCTTGATTGCAACTTATGCCATAACATTCACCATCAGTCACAATAGCTTTCTTTTTTGTTAGTCTGTTTGAGGAAGTTGATATGAACTGAACTTCAGGTTTATGATATAGCGTGACAGCAACTTCGGCACTTGCTACTGCAGTGACATCACAAGGATTACCGTCAAGCTCTAGCTGATTAAGAACATATTTACTGCGGGTGTCCACCATCTTTATATCTTTGTTTTCAGGGTCTGTGATTATAAGGACATTTGGAGTAAGGAGTGTCATACCTGTTATCCAGCATCTATTGATATTGTTTGACGTCTTCACCCAGATATTTTCCATGTAAGAGGTTTGTCTGTATTGAGTATGCTCAGATTGAGCACTGCTGCAAGCGTTATTTGAAATTTCCTCTGTCAAGGTACCCAAAGATTTCTCTGTTTTGAGCATGTTAATGATTGTATCATTTGGTTGAAATTTGATTTCTTTGACCTTTTGTGACGTTATCAGCAGTGTATTTTCTTCGATACCTTCAATCGTTTTCTCTGCAAGTTTTAATTCCACAAACAGTTTGTCAGCCTGTTTTTCTGTGTTCAGCTGCTCGATTTTGTCTGATAATGTCTTCAAAGATTTGGTTATCTCATCACGTGTTCCTTCTACTGTTTTTAAATGTGTGTTATTTTTCTGTTCTATGACGTTTGCAAGTCGTTCCTGTTTATCTAGTCTCTCATTGATTTCATGACGTAACTTTTTGATGTCTGAAATGGCATCTTTGACTAAGCTGTTGGATTTTACTGTCATTTTCTTGACATCTTCTACAATTGTGGAATAGTTGTCAGGAATGTTTTCCAGTGCTTTTAGAATATCTTGATATTCTGTGCTGTCAATAATGTCACCAGACAAGTACGATACATGGTTGACAATACATGGACTGGTTTCATGTTCATCGGAAGCACAGTCACGGCAAAGTAGTTTTTTATGGTGGCTGCAGAAAAAACTTATCTTTTCGTTTGAGTGTATAAGACAGAACGTGGTTAGTTCGTTGCGCTGGCTAGTGTGTGAAGATACTTGGCGTTGATATAAAGTTTCAGGCATATTTGCTGCATCAAGGAGAGTATGATGTTTGGTATTATGGACTGTAAAACACTTCTCGCATAGATGCTCTTTACAGTCAGTGCAGTAACCATGGGCAGGTAGTCGGGGACCTTCTTGATCACAACCCTGGCAATAAACTTTCCTATCTTCTTCTGACATGTCGGTTGTCGAAGATCGAAATTGTTTTGATGCTCTCCTTCCTGAGACGTCCATGTTTAATCTAAAAGGTAAGGAAATACTAATGATTATTATCGTTACAATGCATTGATTTTTTTTTAATTTTACTTTGTTTTGTTTTGTTTAATGTACATATTTCAATTATTTTCTGATTACTGGTTTGCTTAGACACATTGGACACTGTTCAGGTAAATATGTGAATTTTAACATTTCCTATAAAGCACCCTGGATACCAGAAGGTGAGACAAAAAGAGGCCGCTCTCTCCAAATTCGTCGGAGATATATCTGTCAACTCTCAAATAATGTCACTACAGGCATGGTTGATGGGAATTGATCATGCATACATTGCGTTCAGAAATTCATTTTTTTTATTCGTTATAAATGTCAAACATGCGTTTAATAATATTTCAATCAGGGATTTAGAGATTGTAACATGTTTAACAACTTAAGAAAACAATGTGTCCTCAAGGTAGTAAAATTTAAACAGAGTAGTATTTTTACTTCCATAAATACTTATTCACCTTGCCAGCAGAGCTAAAGAAAAAAAAAGATAGTTTATTACTATGGCAGCTGAGTATAGTTTTGGAAACTGTAACAAAATAACCAAAAATGAAAAAAAAATAATAAAGAAATGATAGCATCTCTGATGCATAATGTGCCTTTAACATGATTAAAACGTATTATGGTTCAACGCGGTCGTAAAAAAAAACTAGCGACAATATATTAAGCATTTAGTGTAGAAAATTAGAAAGCCATACCTTGGAATAACTTTTCTGTGTATTTTCTTTAAATAATAGGTAAGAACGTTTCCAGTTACGTATCTTGTTTCAACATGTAAGACAAATAATTGTAAAAATTAATTTTAATATTTGGCACAATTTATGTCGGCGCATGATAAATATCTTTGAAATACAATGTTTTAAATCTAAGAACAAAATTGGTAAAATTTCTAATGAAGACACCCCTACAGGGGCGTAGCTTGAAAGAAAGCACTGTGTAGGCACTAGCGTTAGGGGGGTTCGGGGGCATGCTCCCCCGAAATTTTTTGAAAATCTACATTGCCATAGCTGCCTTCTGAGGTATGTTCAGAAGGAAGGGAATACATGATTTTGCTGCATTTTGGTAACATTGAAAACTTTACCATTAATATGAATATGTCCGTACTTATAACTAACGATCGCTATCCGCATGGGTTCAAACCTAGACAGGGGAAAGTCGTTCCCTTGAGCAAGAAATTTTACACTCATTTCTCAGTACTGGTTGATTCCAGGAACAGATTCTAAAGTGTGTCTTTAAGCTTATGGCTTCCTACACAATTGAACTATAATAAATTTTGTATAAACCAAAAAAAAAAAAAAGAAAAAGAAAGAATGAATCGCATTGCCAGTTCAAAAAATAAACACTCTACCAGTCCACTATGCTAATAAATATTTGGCTATGTATATGAACAGTATTTTCTCGCATACATAGTTAAAATACGTTCTTAATATTGTATGTATTAACTTTGGGTATGTTTCACGTTCATTTTAAATCGACCCCATGAACTTGTTTGGTTTCGACCCTACATGTACCTTGTGTTTTGTTCAACGTTAAGTAGAGGACCTATATTAGCTTAAAATTGAACGGAGAATAACTTACAAATACTGGTAATAAAATTTAAGAATACCTATAGGGTAAATGTCAAGGTTTCGTTCAAATGGCATTGCTTTGTTTCCTCATCATTTGTATAAAAGCTAGCCCTACTATATCAGGATATAGCGGATCCTGGTCAATATTCAAGCGCTCAAAAACTTTTACCTTGTCAACAAGACCACCCGTCCCTGTTTTTGTTACTACTGCGGTTCGAAACAAAACAACTTTACGAAACTGCCACATAAAATAAAAATCAATTAGACTTATTTTCAAATAAGATGATTGATCATTTTCAACATACGTGCATTCAGGGCTACACCTCTATCGACCTTACCCTTAAATTTCTATTGCATTTTATTTATTTTCATTTTTATTTATTCATTATATTTTTCATTTCCGAGAAAAAAGTGTAGGCACGTGCCTACAGTGCCTATAGGAAGCTACGCCACTGCCCTAGTCCTTTATACTAGTATAAAACAGTTTAATATTGCAAAATATATTTATTTTACTCTTTACTCCTTTATTTATTATATGAAGTGCTTAAGCAAACGTTTTTCTTTTCCTGTTTCTTTTCCAAGAAATATGGTCAGTGGGGTTTAATTTATAATATTACCGGTAAATCTATACTTCTTAAATTTTATTGCAGAAATATTGTATTTTATGGTCTGTTCAAAGCTGCATGCCTCTAGATGAGCAAAAATATTTCGATAAAATCAAACTTGAGAAAAATGTACTAAGATTTTAGGAAAGGTATAAAGATTCAAAATTCTAGTAAAAATTTACATGTTATGTGCGATTTAATGACCGATTTTTCAGTACTTATAACTATATTTCTACTGCGTTACTAACGCAGTAAGGGTTTTTTTTGCATATTTTGACCTCTAGCTTTATAGTAATTTACATAGGTTGTAAGTGCCACTGATAATGTGTAATTGCATTCTTTTTGGTAACTTTACAATATTATACTATGAAAGACATGTTCAAATTTTCATGAAAAATTAGCATGAATCTGTAGGTGTGTTGCTTTAAAAGTAATGTATATGGACCTAGTAATATAAGCGAGTCTGTTCTTCAATGACGGCACATGTTTTTCGACGACAACATGTCTGAGAGAGAGTTTACGCAGTCAGTTTCAGTAATAATAGGTTAGATATAATTCAGAGTCAAGCAACTGTTCACCTGCATGTAAAACTGGCGACAAAACCAGGAATGGGCTGGCGTCCACGTCGTCAATGGCGGTGGCCATTTTGAAAATTTGAAACATTTATATATTTTCACCAAAGCCCTTCAAAGAGTTTTCAATAGTTTTTATATAAAGTTTATTTTATGGAAGATGTACATTACTTTTCTTATAAACATTCATTCAGTAAATTGGAAAGTGACTTACACGAGGTGTCTTTAGTATAGATTGTACGGTAAAATGTAGACTCTGAAGTATATTAGATAGACAACAAAAGCAAATTACAAAGAATAATCATAATATTGTTTTAGTTCATTTTAATCATTTGAATATGGATTAATTGCTGATGATATTCATGATACATTTGTATTATGATAATAGGCAAATACTCTGTGATCTGTCAACATTTTATAGCTATTATGTAACGTAATTATAACTGTTAACATTGAACATGGATTGCGTGTTTTAAATAATTTAATAAAAACGTGTTATAATTTAAATTTAGAGTGACAATATATTTTCTCTATATGTATAATAAAATAGAGGAGAAAACAAAAAAGTGTATATTTATTTAGTCAAGAACGTTTTGTGACAAGATTAAACAAGAGGGCCATGATGGCCCAAAGTCGCTCACCTGTATATAGGCCCCCGGAGCGGGGCCAGTTTAAACCCCAGGGCTTTTATTTGAACAAAGTAGGTTGACACCCATTAGAAGATGTTTCATGCTAAACATCTAAGGTCTAGCTTATTGGGTTTTTTAAAGAAGATTTTTTATATATTTATATATATATATATATATATATATATATATATATATATATATATATATATATATATATATATATATATATATATATATATATACATATTATGTTTATATATATATATACATAATATGTGTGTATATATATATATATATATATATATATATATATATATATATATATATATATGTGTGTATATATATATATATATATATATGTGTATATATATATATATATATATATATATATATATATATATATATATATATATATATATACATACATATATATATATATACATACATATATATAAGATATATATATACAATATAGATACATACATATATATATATTTCATATATACACACACACACACCAAAAAATGCAATACATATATATATATATATATATATATATATATATATATATATATATATATATATATATATATAATGCATATATATATATATATATATATATATATATATATATATATATATATATATATATATATATATATATATATATATATATATATATATATATATATATATATATATATATATATATATATATGTATGTATATATATATATATATATATGTATGTATATATCTATAAAAAAAAAAGTCGAGCTAATGAATGACCCCCGGGGCAGGGCCAATTTTGACCCCAGGGCTCTTATTTGAACGAACATGGTAGACATCCATTAGAACACTTTTCGTGCTAAATATCTTAGCTCTAGCTCTTTGCATTCTTTAAAAGAAATTTTTTTAAGTTTTTACTATATGCATATAGGGAAAATCAATGACCCCCTGGGGCGGGGCCAATTTTGACCCCAGGGCTTTTATTTGAACAAACTTGGTAGACACCCATTAGAAGATGTTTCATGCTAAATATCTTAGCTCTAGCTCTTTGGGTTCTTTAAAAGAAGATTTTTTAAGTTTTTACTATATACATATAGGGAAAATCAATGACCCCCAGGGCGGGGCCGATTTTAATTCTAGGAACAAAATTTGAACAACTTTGGTTTTGGACCTATAGATGATACCATAGACCAAATATCAAAGCTCTAGGCCATTTACTTTCAGACCAGAAGATTTTTCAAGTTTTCACTATATGTATATAATGAAAATCAATGACCCCCGAGGGCGGGGCCAATTTTGACCCAAGGGCCATTATTTGAACAATCTTGGTAGAGGTCTACCACACAATGCTTCATGCCAAATATCTTACCTGTAGCCTTTGCCAATTCAGAGAAGAAGATTTTTTATGTTTTACTATATACATATAAGGAAAAACCTATGACCCCCCCGGGGCGGGGCCAATTTTGTCACTAGGGACAAAATTTGTACAACTTTGGTATTGGACCTTCAGATGATACCATAGACCAAATATCAAAGCTCTAGGCCATTTACTTTCAGACCAGAAGATTTTTCAAGTTTTCACCATATGTATGTA